TGGAGAAGAGGAGGCTCAGGGAAGGCCTTCTCACTCTCTACAATTCCCTAGACGTACATTGTAGCCAGATGGGTGTCAACCACTTCTCTCAGGCTCTTAGTGATAGTGAGAGAGGAAATCACCTCAAGCTGCAGCAGGGGAGGTCCAGATTGGACACCCGGAAGAATTCCTTCACAGGCATTGGAAGGAGCTGCCCAGGGAAGTGGTGGCTACCATCCCTGTAATTGTTCAAGGAATGACTGGACATGGCACTTAGTGCTCTGGTTTAGTTGACAAGGTGGTGATCAGTCACAGATTGAACTCTATCATAGAACAGAATCATAGAATCAATTGGATTGGAAAAGACCTTCAAGACCATCAAGGCCAACCCCATTGTGGGATCATGTAGATTGTAGATCATGGCCCTAAGTGCCACATCCAGTCTCATCTTGAAAACCTCCAGGGATGGTGAATCCACCACCTCCCCAGGCAGTCCATTTCAATGCCTGATCACTCTCTCCATAAAGAGTATCTTCCTAATATCTAACCTTAACCTACCCTGGCAGAGCTTGAGTCTGTGCTCTCTTGTCCTCCTGCTGGTTGCCTGGGAGACCAAGCCCCACCTGACTCCAACCTCCTTTCAGGGTATTGTAGAGGGTGATAAGGTCTCTCCGGAGCCTCCTCTTCTCTAGGCTAAACACCCCCAGCTCCCTCAGCCTCTCCTCATAGCACTTGTGCTCTATCTATGATCTTGGATGTCTTTTCCAACCTTAATGATTCTGTAATTCTATTTTGATTCTACCTTATATTTCTAAGGTTGATATTTGGAGCACCCAACCCAGTCCAGCATGCCCTGCAATGCAGTGGTGGGAGTCATTGGAGCTCTGCTGTGAGCTCATTCTCTACTGCTGGATCCATGATGTAGGTGATAAGTCTTACTGTTCTTGGGGAAATTTCCTGCCCATGTCAGGAGGCTGGAACCACATGTTCTTTAAGGTCCCTTCCAAGACAAAGCATTCTATGATTCTGTTGAAAAAAAGGGTAATATTTTATGGGAGGAAAAGGGAAACCAGTCATGAATAGGGGAAAAATTGTATTAAGAAATATTAGGTTTGGGTGATGAAACTGGGAGAGAAGGAGAAAATGTAAGGGCACAGGCATGAATTTCTAGGTTATAAATCACTAGAGAGAGTAACATTTAGAAGGTCCTGCCAGCAGTTGGTGTTAGAGATTAACTGTTAGGATGACTTTGGATATGGTAGAGAGATAATAGAAATGATTCCTGCCAATGATCATAGCTATTCTGATCCATACTGTCTTATGAAAAAAAAAAAGGTATATGTATAGAAAAGTAGAGATGCATGCAGAGAACGAGTAGAGATGCAATTACTTCAGAATAAGTTGAAACAATATATTTTCATGCCATAAATGTGAAAGGACAAAAGGGAAAAGAGAATCTGCTGCTTAAAAAAAAGAGTTTACAAGAAAGTCTTTACTGGAGCAGGCAAAGTGCCTTTTCTTGTCATACTTCGGGAACAATTAATGAAACATAGAAGTGTGGGATATGTTTCTCATTGTATTTGGGAACATTAAAAGGTAATGCCACTAATGAGGTGGTAAGCAGTACGCAGGCGCTATTTTACCACAGCCAACCTGTAAGGAGAAAGAGAGGTGAGCAGAACTTTAAAAGGCAGATATGACTTACTCTGACTTCAATTTGCTTTCAAAAACATGATCACTGACCCTTTAAATCACAAGCCAATTAAACGTATTGTAGTACCATTACTAATTACATGCTGAGAGTGTAAATTTAAAATGGCAATTTCAATTTTCAGTTCATTGGGAGAATGCAGGAAAACGAAATTGCATACTAACTAGTTCATGTGTATCAGACACCTGAAAGATTAGAAAAAACCCAAACCTCTGCACTCATTACAAGTGAGTTATAAGCAAAGCATTCAAACCTTTTATTTGCGGGGCTGCATATAAATAAAGAAATTAAATGACAAAGAAAATTGATAATGATGGAACAAGGCAAAAATAGCTACAGGCCTTTACATAACCAGACTTTGAGGGACTTTGCTCATTATACACAGCTTCCTTTAGAATTTATCCAGCAGTAGAAACTACAAGAGGGGAATAGGTTACTGCTTAGGGCTCACTGTGCTAAATGTTAATTTACGTTTCCTAAAAATGGACTTTCTGCTTTTGTAACTTTCCACTTAATCTCTGCCAAACATTCACACCCTTTTTCAGGACCTTATTCTGGACCAGCTGCTTTGCCACTCAAAGTATCATGGAAAAGGTTCCATGTACAGGCTGCTCACAGAAGGACCAGGGAAGAAGCTGGTGACATGATAAAATAAAAACTCAAGTACATTGTTATTAGAGGTCTTTTCTCCCACAAGACGAGTAGAAAAGCAGCCAGAAATTTCACCCAAATCAGAGTCTGATGGTTTTTTTTAACCCCCCACAAACATTTATAATGTTTCTCCCTGGCAATTACAGAAGCTTTGGAAAAATAAGATCGGAGGTTCCTGCTTCTCCTCTTCTCTCATCAGAAACTCTTCACCCGTATAAGGGTCAGGCAGTGTTTGTCTTTTAGAGCTTATTTCATGCTAGAAGAACAAGACAGTGCTCTTTCGTAAAGAACTACCCTGCAGCACATAAAGTGTGAGTATGTGGAGGTCTATCCCTGCCAAATCACATCAGGGTTTCTGCAGAACACTAAAAAGCAATTTTCCCCTGCAAATGTCATCTCCCTGAAAATTTTCAGATTTTCTGATCCCAGTGTTTTAAGGAGAAAAGTCTCAGAAAAGGAAGATGTAAACTTCTGTTCTTAAATTACAAAATGTATTTCAAATTTTGAGCTGAACTGGAAAAAAAAAACCAGAAAAAAAAGATTCTGCAAGTTCTATAAAAATTATACACCAAAGTTTATTTTGCAAGAAAAAAGATGAAAAAGAAGATCATCAAGTACAACTGTCCATCAGCATTACTACTTTAGCCTCCAAACCATGTCACACAGTGCCAGATCCAAATGCCTCTTAAACATCTCCAGGGATGGCAATTCCACCATCAAAGCACTTGGAACACATACTAGGTGCTTTGGACACTTTAATCATATCACTTAAACTTCTAGGAGGTCCTTACAGACTGTGGTTGTCAAAATTACAGAATAACCTGTATGGGATTGGAATTACTTAGCCTGAGCCATTAACTCCAAAAATAGAGCAAATTGTTCAGATCTGATGCCCGAGATTTATAGACACATTTTTTCCTTTTTCCCAATGTTCTTTACAGGGAAGAGCTAACAGAAGACTTCCATGGGAGCAAAGTCCAAGGCAGTCACAGCTCTTGTCTGGGTAGATACCTGCATAGTGCCTGATAGCTGCCTCCACGGTGCATGGTGGCTTTGTCAAGTACAAATGTGGAAGCATCATTCAATATCCCGTTCATCCCCTAGAAAAGACATGTCTAGGGGGCTAATGCTAAATGATTTTGAATTTTTTCTCCAGTTCATTTAATAAAGCCCACACTCTAATGCAGCCCAAAAGCTACTGTAACTCTGACTTTTTCATTATCCATTAAAGTTACATTAGCCTTCTACTCCTGTAGAAATAATTCTGCTCAAATCCCTTGGCGCTATTCTTTCCAGTTCTTTTTCAATGTATGAATTTTACAGGCTTCCTAACCCCTCCGGTCTATATGGATGAAAACTGACTTAAGAAACATCGAAGGGCCTTTGTGTTTACAGTCTGCAATAAACAACAAACAGTAACACTGACTTCATTTTTCAGGATTGACAAAATCCAGCAGTCTCACTGCACCAGTTTCAGAAAACTCCATCAAACACTGTTTTGTGTCTTCTCTCCAAACAAGAAAAATGAACAGGTAATCTTGTATGCCGTTTTTCCCCCTCTAGATATTTGGAAGCCACACGCAAAAATCACCAATGGTAGCCAAGACAAAACCTCAAATATGAACAAAAAATTTCACCATGCACACAAAGGTAATTTCAAGAAGAATGTGTCTGACACACCCAAGGGACATAATGGACAGTTCAACTTATTTCTGGCAGATGAGATAATCAGATACTTTCTTTTGCTAAATCCTGTGGTGGTGGTCACTGACAGGAAAGCACTTTCTTCACATATTGACTATACTGATCAGTACAAAAGGTTTTCCCACAAGGATCTCACTTACTAACCTGTATTGGTCAACAGCTGACATTGCCAAAGCTTCGCCCAATTCATAGATCACAAAAAGAAAATGCCATAAAAGTAAAGAGCTACAGCAATCACTGTATAATGATTATCTTCATTAAAATACTGCCACAAGACTTCATATTCACTGCTTCATGACTTTCACTGAAGTAATTTCTTGGGCACAGAGAAATCCAGTTCACAGTGCCATTTGGATCAGTCTACTGATAACATCCTTGAATGAGAATATGAAAATGTGCATTTTTCAGCCCCATGGATGTGGTTGAACTAACAGCTGTTTCAACCTTAATTGAAAGAGTTCTTGTTACTTCCAGTATGATGCACATGATACTTGACCTGCTGCCCAGAGCAGCTCAGTAGAGAGGACCAGCTCTTCCTGCAGGCTCTGGTACAGCCAAAACCACATTAAAGCATGCTAGAAAGATGCCCTCAGAAGGCTGCATATGTCAAAATATCTCTACCAGGTGATCTTGCTGTGATGTGCTTCTCAGGACTTAACTACCAAATGTAACATATGGGGAAAGCAGCTTCATTCAAAGAAGCCTTTTTAAACCTGCTTCCATGGTTTAGAGCCACAATGGAACATATGCATGTTTTTTAAATAAAAAGATTTGTGCATTTGTAAAGTCAAGATTATCACTGTTTTTCAAGTAATAGTCTCTTTTAGCCTAGACTACATTTTTGACAGTGAGTAAGAATCTAGCTGTTCGTTAACCACTTGTCTTCATCAGTTTCCTAAGTGACACTGGCAATTGAATCAAGGAGATTTTTTTCCTCCTCAGTTCCATCTGTTACCTGAATCCATGGCCATTTGTCATTTTCTGCAGCAGTCCAAGCATTCACAAGACCTTTCTTATTAAGTCGTGCATAGTATGGATACCATTTCTGGAGTCCAAAAAGAGCTCGATGAGTGGATGACGCAGTAATTTGTTGGTTTGACACAATTCCTCCTTCTATCCCTAGTGGGCCAGAGCATCCTGCAAATGGAAACGGGAAAAGAATGCTTACTTACATTTCATGCTTTCTCAGAAACTTGGCAGTGTTTCCCCTTAAGCAGTACCCAAGAACAAACTCTGAAATGGTACTGTTACAATATCCTTACACCACGTGGACAGAAAGTCACAAATAATTTATTTCCTCATTAATTTAAAGGTACAGATAAGAAAAAGTGGCCAGTGCAATTTGCTCCTCTCAGCAGGGAGTCACTGGTAGCACAGTCCCCAGGTACTGTGTGTCACAAGTGATGGAGACAAATATAAACTAAATGGAAGTTTTAAGTTGGTTATGGAGGAAGTACCATGGACAAGCAAATCCTTGTGCTCTGAAAAGGTAAACCAAGCCCCCATATGGGTTGGGTTCTGGATGTGTTCCTTCTCAAAGTCAAAACCTGGCAAAAAAACCTCCTAGGATATGCTTAAAGGAAATCTGGCCTCACTTAAATTAGTGGCTGACTTGCACTACACAATGATTTCACACATTTTTAACAGTCCACAGAGCTGGGCTTGAATCTAAAGTCCTGGTGCTATTTTTCTATATCAGCCAACAATAAATTCTTTGCATTCAGCACTTGAGTAATAACTCTGCACAAAACACAACAAAACGCAGCTCTCTCCTATTGCTGTGCCAGGTGCACAGTAGTGCCAGAAGAAAACAAATTCTTTGTCACCAGCATAGGCAGGCACAATATAGAATGATTCAAAAACTCCACATATGTTGGAAAATTGACATTTTTTCATTGTGTTTTCATAGAGTGTTACTTAAGAATTGAAAGACCTATTCAAACCTTAGCTCTGTTTCTGAAATGTGTTCATCCAAGGATAAAATCCTTTGGTGTATGAACTGCTATACATGCTTGCAAGCCAGAGGTAAACAACTCTAGCACAATATAGAATGATTCAAAAACTCCACATATGTTGGAAAATTGACATTTTTTCATTGTGTTTTCATAGAGTGTTACTTAAGAATTGAAAGACCTATTCAAACCTTAGCTCTGTTTCTGAAATGTGTTCATCCAAGGATAAAATCCTTTGGTGTATGAACTGCTATACATGCTTGCAAGCCAGAGGTAAACAACTCTACTTTCCTAAGGAAAAGCGCATGTTTCCAAAAGTTTGTTATTTTTACTTATTAAGATACCTTTGTTGCTTCATAATGGAATAGAAAATGCACACAGATGTGTCTATCTGGATGTGTAACTCACCAACACACACACATGTACCTACAGGGTTAGTGTATCAAACTGACCACTGTTAACAGCTGGAATCATAGATAATTTGAAAATAGAGACACAAGAAAGCAGAAGAGAGGTTACCAAGGGGAGATTAAAAAGGAAGCATGTTTAAGACGTTACTTAATGTTAGGCATGACAGTTGCTGCATTTATTGCTTAAGATGCATTAAAAGTTTGAAAGGTTGAAATATGTGTAAAATCCTTACACAGGAAATGCGAATTTTCCACTCTAAATTGAAGGCAATTTAATTACCAAGTACATCACTTAACTTGACTTTCTCATAAACATATATGGTCAGAAGTGATTACCTTCCCTAGCCTTAGGAGTATTATTCCTGAAATCCAAAGCAAATCTCTACCTTCAGGGAATGGGTACTTTATTGCACAAGTTCCGTATTCTCACTGTGGTTCCAGTCATGATTTGTCATATTTGTCAGTTTTTCAATGTGAGATAAACGTAAAATTTATGAATCCTGAAAGTTTAAACTACCACTTTCTACTTTGGTGATCAGTTCAGGCATAACAACATGAGATGTGTAGGAAGTATGAGACTGGATAATAATTTTTAAACAATCTTATAAGTACATTCCTTAAATTACCAGATTTTTTTTCTTTTTTATATATTGAACAGCAGAAGTTTCATTACGATACTGTGAGTGAGCTCCTTCCATTGCCAAACCTGCCTCTTTACTCATCTCTTAGATCTTTATTTTAATCATATATTACTTTACAAGCAAACCTTTCCACTTGCTTTCTATTATCAGTTAAAGTAAAATATTGAACACATTTTTGGACAGTCAAATACCACAGCAAATAGACTTCCCTTAGCCATATGCTCATTAATTTCTTCAAAATACTCCACTAGATTGGTGAGTCACTCTTTCTTCTTACGAAAACTCTAATGGGGCTATTACTCTCTAAATTCACAAGCAATTTACTTCACCTGAAAACTCACGGCTGAATCTCTGGTTACATCAAACATGCTTTACCACTAAAGGACTGGCTACAAACTAGTCCTTTAGTAATAAAGTCCTTTAGTGACTACTTTGGTGAGACACTGGCACAGGTTGCCCAGGAACATGGTGGCTGTCCCAACCCCGGCAGTGTTCAAGTCCAGGCTGGATGAGGCCTTGAGCAACCTGATCTAGTGAGGAGGTGTCCCTGCCCAGGGCAGGGTGTTGGGACTAGATGATCTGTAAGGCCCATTCCAACCCTTAAATTCTATGATTCTATGATCATAATTTCTGCAAAAGATATTAAATTTCTAACACAAATACGTTCCTTCAGGTTGAGGTATCAATTACTTCTTCAAGTGTTTAAGAACTGTGATATGCCACTGACCACTAACAATGAAGAAAACAGGCAGAGCTTTTCCAGATTGTTTGTCTTTTAAAGGAAACCAAGATGCATATTTTGCAGAACAACTACAAGCTGTATTATATCTTTTTGCTATACTTCTGCTTCTATTAAATCCATACTTCATTTAGCAAGAATCATGACAGCCTGGGAAGCTGCATTCTCCAATGGAGTAATAATATCACTACAGTGACTGTGTACAATTCAGACTGGTCAACATCATTCATTAAATGAAAATCCACTTTTATTAGTTAATGCAGATGCATCAGGGCATGATAAACCACTTGATGCAAGGAAGTAAAAAAACCGGCCTGACAGGTTCATGATACAGATTCTCAAGGAAGATTTTGTCCTCTGGAACTCTTATTTTAGTGTCATTAAAGAGCAGGATGCGAACTCAAGTAATATTGTTCTTATTCTACAGTGACAATTACTGTGCCTACAAGGGAGCCGGAGAGGGACTCTTTGTTATGGGGTTGATCAATGATAGGACATGGGGTAACAGGTTCAAACTGAAGGAGGAAAAGTCTAGGTTGGATGTGAGAAAAAAGTTGTTTTTCAGTAAGGGTGGTGAGACACTGGCACAGGTTGCCCAGGGATGTGGTGGCTGCCCTGCCCTGGGTGGTGTTCAAGGCCAGGCTGGGTGAAGCCTTGAGCAACCTGATCTAGTGGGGAGGTGTCCCTGCCCTGCCCAGGGCAGGCTGTTGGGATTAGATGACCTGTAAGGTCTATTCCAGCCCCTAAATTCTATGATTCTATTATTCTGCACTAAATCAAGCCCATTCGATGCTTCTCTGCTTCTCTTCAAACACAAACTTAGGCCCATAAAAACCAAAAACAGTGGTCCATGGAGATAACAGAATGCAATGGTGTACCAACAGCTATATGAATGTGAATGGATCCACGGAAGGATGGGGAAGTCCGTAACATAGGAAAAGTGAATCTTTTCAATTCTCCTAAGAACCCCCACCAACTCAAGTGAAGACACCATAGCTATAACTTAATTAGATCTAGAAACCTTATGTACCATTTTGCACCACAAATCAACTGATTTTTAGTCCAGATTTCACTTGCAGACCAAGTGTATGGGGATCAAATAGCTCCCCAGACAGAAGGTGAGTTCTGTGCTTTCACTCTTATCTCTGATGACAATAAATCCCTCCAGCTGAACAGCAACATTTGTGTGAAAGGAAGCAGAAGATGATGACAGTTAGCTAGGTGTGTTTTACACTGATATCTTCTCAGAAGTAAATTAAAATAGGGAAATAAGTCACTGATTCCCCCTCTTTATAGTGAAAAGACAAACCACTTTAAGATACAGTTACTACAGCAAGAGATGATAAGCAGAAAGCAGTGGGTAAACATGTTACTTGAGTATATTTAATTTGGATTTCTACATTCATGTCAGTCCACAAATTTAGCAAAACCTCAATATGGTTTAAAAATTCCTTGAAAATGTGAGGATTATGCCTCTGCAAACAGAATGAAAAGATTTCTTGCTATTGACAATGAAATATGCCTGACTTTGCAGCATGAATATAGACCTTTCATTTCCTCTGATGGTCTGCCTCTAGCTAACGTCATCAAAACAAACAGATGCAAAATTGAAGACAAGCAGAAAACAAAGCTGCTTTAGACATCTGCAATCCAGTCTTCCTCCAAGCACCTCATTTTCTGGAATGAAATTACTCTGGCTGTGCTTAGCATGGCCTGATAATGGTGCTGAAAAGACAACTGGAGCATCTCCCCTATGAGGCTGAGGGAGTTGGGACTGTTCAGCCTGAAGAAGAGAAGAGTATGTGGAGACCTCAGAGCAACTTTTCTGTATCTGAAGTGAAGGGAAGGAAGCCAGACAGGAACTCTGTGTTAGGAACTGCAATGATAGGACATGGGGTAATACGTTAAAACTGAAGGAAGCAGAGTCTAGATTGGATGGGAGAAAAAAGGT